GGTCGTTGACGAACTGGCGGTGAAGGAGAGTCTGAGGGGGCCTTAAATCCTCAACCTGATTGCCCTGAATCAGTCTCAGGTGTGCAGGACTGCAGCAGGGATGATGGCTCCGCCCATGGGTGGAGACCAAGGAACTCAGGTGCCTGATGGAATTTTCCAGTCGAGTCTCCAGATCCTGACACATTGTACTTGAAATTAAGGCATTCATTTATACAGATTGTTTTTGTGTTCACGTTGGAAGTACAGCGTTACATATAGCGCTACTCTATACTCGATCATATGTGTCTACCAATATGTTTAAAGTCTCTTTCTCTTTCTTGCTGATAAACACTTAAAAGGTGCTAAAGTATTTTAACTCTGCATTTTTATGTCCATGTTTTCCTGGTAGCAGTCTTTCCTCCTAGCAGTACTTTTGCAGGCAAGATGCTTCACACCTTGGCATATTGTTGCTACCTCTGTGTATAAGTTGTCTTTTAAATTATCACATGCTACCTCTCTCTAGCTTAGCTAACCAGACATTAGACCACACCATCTGAAGCTTACTTCAGAACTGATAAACCCAAGCTGTTAAAAAAAAGATGCCCGTGTTAGATCTTTAGATTATGAATAATTCATGATTGTTTAAAGGTATGTTAACAGTTTTGACTCTCGTTCTCGAATAAAAATGAAACATAGAGCAACACATTTGTGGGAACATTCTTTGACCTTTTTTAACCTGTCCGCTTCACACCAAACCAGATTGAGTGCCATATAAGACCTACCATTTAGTTCTTTTATTCAAATGTTAGTGGGTTGTTATCTTGCTGTAGGATGTCTTCCTTTATTACTTGCCCTTTGCTCACCATTCTCATAGCTATAAAAAGTACTTCCTGCAGTATTGTCCTAATAATGTATTCCATCTGGTGGGAACAACAAAATAATCAGCATAAATTGGGCCATCTGTTGGAAGTGTTTGAAAATCTTTTAAGGATTAATTCATATCACTGCTGCAAAAAAGCTACAATTTTCTTTATCCTTGAAAAAGCAAATTTCTCATGAAATATATTTTCATTTCATCTTGGACAGTGTGCTACTTACCTTTAGACTCTTAAGGTTGGACTTCAAATGGAAAAATACCTGGTTGACTACTGGAAAAATAACATGGCATGCAGGTGATAATAAGAGTCATGACTGAAATGCAAATTCAAGTGACGCTGCTAATGAGTGGTTTAGAAGTTATCTAAGAAAACATGTAAACATGTTGCTATTGTGCAAAACAGGCTGCAGTGACCAACTGTCATCTGCAGCATTTGGGTGGTGAGTTGGACAATCCTACTGTTTGCTAAAGCAATGTGTTGCTGTGTGTGCTGGCAGGGTGCGGCTAGAGGCTTTCTCCGACAACAGCGGGAAGCTGCAGCTCTCCCTGCAGGAGATCATAGAATGGCTGACGGCCAAGGACGAGGAGCTGTCGGAGCAGCTGCCCATAGGAGGTGATGTGGGAGCTGTCCAGCACCAGAGGGAGTTCCACCAGGTAATGTGGATAATACCTTTTCAGTACCCATTTTACAAGATGTGGTTATT